CCAAAAAATATTCCACATATTTTAATTTATCTAATATTGGACTTTACCCACCTGTTTTTCCTGGGTATCAAGCCAGCATAATCTTCACCACAATGTCTGGCAAAACTCAGAATTAAAGATATATTGGAATGGGTTTCCTTGTCTACATTTACTATGGCAGAAATCTGGTTTGCTAGCAATGGTAGCCCTTCTTTGTCAGTAAACAGTCCATGAACAACAAGCTGAAAATAAAATATCACATTATAATATTTAAACAGGAAAAATTGCATCACTGTGAATGGATAACATTATTTCAGAGTTATTTATACATGATGAGTGACGTACTAACCTCAGCCAACAAACGCAGGGTGATCCTCATTCTTGCTGGATCTGTAACCTTATAATTGAAGGAAACAACAACAAAAAAACGTTAGAAACAGTGTGAATGGATATTATACCACTCTTGATTTCATGGTCCACTTTTAGTAAACCATAACATTTGTATCCATATCAGAATACAGATGGTCACCTGATGTCAAATAGCTTTTTATCAATATAAAAAAAAAATTTAACTAATCTTTCTATCCAAGGAGGATTCAGCTGTAAAAAGTATGAAAACATTTCAAGAATATTCCAGACACTGCAGTATTGATTTTAATTATAGTGTCAAATAGAATACTGTGGAATACTTTATTTTCGCTGGAATTAATTTTCGCTGAAAAGGTTTTTTGGGCATTTTGTGTGGAATTTATTTTCACTGATTTTTGATGAGTTTAATGTGGAATATAGGAAAAAAAGTATATTCACTGGATTTTATTTTCACGGAAACATTCCTTCAGCGAAAATAGCGAAAATAAATTCCAAGCGAAAATAAAGTATTCTACAGTAGATCATTCAGTGCAAGTAATTTACAAAACAATTTACAAGGATATTATGATGTTTCGGTGTTTTATTCCATATTTGAAAATTGTATTTCCTAATATGAGTAGGGGACAAAGGTACAGGTAACTCTGTGCAATACTACAAAATTAAGACATGCTGCTGAATTTATGACGATAAAGACATACATGTATGTTTAATAATCCATGAAATTATAGATTATACTTCACCTTTTCATCTTTCTTTTGTAATGTTTTTTGGAATGCTTGTAGAAGCTGTGGAGAATATTCTGCATATCGCTGGTGGAGGAGTGAAGATATGTGAACTGCACAGCCAACATCAGACATCTGCCAAGAGTAAAAATATAAATATTAAGGTAG